ATGATTTATTTCAGTATACGAAGCGAGCACTGCTCACTACCGCATTCATTTGGAAGATGTCTCTCTGGTTCAAATCGCCTGATATTCCTAATTGCAGAAAATGGGGTTGGGAATGGAATGACAGAACCAAAGAATGGGTACCCTTCTCAACTGATCTTCCATATGCAAACAATAATGGATGTTCATTACTACTCAATTGTGGTTGTTTGTTCTCATGCGCAGGCAGATGTAAATGTTATGGAGCCGGGATTCGCTGCAGTCCATTATGCAAGTGTGAAGAAGGTTGCCCAAACAACTCTTATGATGCATCAAGTAACCAGTTGTTGCAAACCTGTGATTTACGTCAAATTCTATCGCATTTCTGTCAAACATGCATGTTTCTTTATATTTTGTAATTCATAAAAAAATGTTTCTTTATCTTGCATTATATTGTCCAATCCTTCATAACAAAATACTTAATGACCTTGTCATTGATTTTGAACACGAATTGGACCAGAAAAATGAATTCCTCGCATCGTAGGACCCATGAAAAGTGGTATTACCTACTTAAGATTTTGTGTCTTATAAAAGAGCATCTATTGAAAATATGAATACAGATGGCGGTCATATTCGATTTATAGTAAAGTGTCTCTATACAAGACAGTGGCGACAATAGTGCCTAAGCTCCGCCCACCCGCCATGTTTTGTCGAACTCATTCATTAATGTATTTTTTCTTTCTTTTCTTTCTGTTCTAATTTTTTTATCACAATATATTAACACAAAATTGCTTAAATATCCATAGAATCAAATGGTAAACACAAATAACTTTAGAGCCTAAGCTCCGCCCACCCGCCATGTCTTGTCAAACTCATTATAATGTATTTGATCTTTATTTTCTTTCTGTTCTAATTTTTTGTCACCAAATAGTCAATAACAGGCACAAATAACAAAAACAAAAATATATAAACACAAAATTGCATAAATTTCCATAGCATAAAACAGTGGCGGCTCATCTTATAAAGCAACTGAGGCCGGGCCTCACATGTAAAAATTACAATAATGATGTAAAATTTTGAAATAATATTTATTAAATATTTAACGTTTTTCAACTATTTTCAATCATCAAAAGTAACAAAACATCGAATTTTCATTAAAGTATAATACTATTTCTTGAATTTAGCGCGCGCTTCTACCTATTTATCCTTATAGGCGCTCAAATCGTTGCCGGACAGCATAAAAATGAAATAGTAATCCCAAAAATTTTGGCCTCATGTGCGTCACAGAACGCCGAAGCGATGCCATGGAACTCCCCACCACAACCCTTCAACTGTAGGTGAGACGATAGGAAATTTTTATAGGCATTGAGGCGCACAATTTTGGGCTTGTTAATAAGAAACTTTGCATCTCTTGCTGTTGTGACAAGTAGCAAATGCCAGTGCGTGATTTAATTGGCTCATACTTTTTATTTTGGTCTGTTGCGGGTTAGAAAACTGTTTTTTGGAATTTATTTTGTTAATTTGAAACGCAATATTTGTATTAAAATAAGAATTATATACTGCTGTTGTTTTGCAACTGTAAGAAATGAAAAATTTTATTAGAAATATACAAAAAAAAATATCCGAGGTGTTCTTTTAATGAAATTTTGGGTCAAAATTTGGGAGTAACACTTGAAAATTTTGTTTGGGTTAACTCGATGGGCCATGGGCCTCATCAGTTTGGATTGTCACGAGCCGCCACTGGCATAAAATGGTAAATACAAATAACTTTCAACAAAACAAGACAGATATTCTGTAGCCAATCAAAAATGAGACCCTCTATTGTCGCCACTGTCTTGTATAGAGGCACTGTAATTTATAGCTAACAGGCCACCATAAGAAGCACACAAGTTGCTTGCGATGGTTTCCTAAAGCCTCAAGACCATACCTAAGACTATACCAAATTTGAAAGACTTGGCCCAAAGTGCACGATTCTTACGAATTTCCCTATGCTAAGTGATATATCTACAAAACTACTTCAAAAATGTATGTTGTGTTGTTCCTATAAATCAGCAGTACAGGAATAACTTTCCCGTACTGTTTTTCATTGATTCCATAGCAACTATTGAAAGGTAATTAAAATACCTACCAGAATATTGAGTTCTGTGGCCTGTCAACCAGTCAAAAATGTTGATATTTCTTGTCAATCGCAGGAAAATTATATTTCCTTTCTACAGTTACCTTCCGTTTCCTGGTAAAGACTAGGCAAAAGGAAATATTGACTTTCAAAAATATCAATAAATTTGATGCATTTTCTGAGAACTATTTATTTGTTTCACTAGGCAGAAAAGCACAAGTCAAGGCATTAAATCGGATTTTCTGCCAAGAGAAACATATTTTTTTTTCGAATTTGTTCCAAGTTCACGCATAAGCCATTTTTTTATGAGATAAGTGACCTAGCGCGATCAATTTTTTCACGTAATATCATTGTAAATTATAATTCACAGTTTAATTTGAACCACTTATTCTGCAGGCAGTAAAAATACACTCGCGTCTATTTCTCAACGTGACTCCTTCAGTATGCGCGTGCGCGTACTTTCCACAGCCGATTTTAAGGTTAGGTTTTCCTGTTTTGTTTTGATTTTGAACTTGTACTTGTTTCGTAACGTAACATTGTTTCTACTGACCCTAAAGTTTCTATTCACTCCGTTTAGGGTAATTTTTGTAGTTACATATCTGTTGATTCGTATCGTGATGGAGGGAAACAGTGAAAACATTAAAAAGGGCTTATAGATAAGTAAAAGTGATTGAGTAAGTCTAATGAGAAGTAAGTCCAGAAGTGAAGATGTATCCAAATTTTGTAGATATGTATATGTCTGTACTTGGTGTTCCAAAACATTTTCAAATCAGGGCAATTTAAGCAGACATACCAAAAATATGCATGATTCGTTGGTGGCTGGAAGGAAAAAAACAATATTTCCTAGAAAAAATGATTTCTTTGTCGGCGATGCCCGGATAAACAAAATCAAAAAATTGATGCTCTTGGACTAAATTTATTCTCAATTCTTTATGTGTAGAGTTTTTGCAACAGTTTTTGCTTATCCGGGCATCGCCGACAGAGAAATCATTTTTTGAAGGAACCTCGATTATCTGTGGCGGGGACTATAGATACTTTCTTTTAGATTTTATGTGCATTTTGATTTTTTCTGTGTCAAAATAAATTTTTCACCCAAATACATAGGTACCTTTGTGTTTTATTTATTACAGATATAAATAGTTAAGGGCTAGATTGAGTTTCTTGCGCTAATTTTTTGCTAAGTAAAAAATTATCCTAAACGGGGTGGATAGAAATTCCAGAGTCAGTAGAAACAAAATTAGGGAATTTAGGTAACAACGTACAAGATCAAAATCAAAACAAAACAAAAAAACCTAACCTAAAAATCTTCTATGGTAAGTAGGCGCACGCGCATACTGAAGGAGTCACGTTGAGATATAGACGCAAGTGTAAAAATACAACTTGTAAGCCTGTCAAATGCGTCAAGTGTCATTAAAAGGCCGCTTTTAGTGTCATTCGGAGAAACAACGTTTTTTTTTCTATAACTGGAATTTCAGGAAACGTTGCGAGAACCTCAGTGTTGTAATCATTGCCCATAATTAGGAGCAACACATCGGACCTATTTCAAAATTTCCAAAGAAAAATGAGGAAATTAAAGACGATTGAGAATTGAAAAATTTGCGGTTTATTAATAAAAAACAAAATTTTCGATTTCCTATTTATTTCTCATAATACATATTTGTTTTTGAAAAATTGTTCTGTTAGCGGAAAAAAACATTCTGTGTTCTACTCCACAATTTGTTTTCAACAAACTAACCTAATGACTGGAATATTAGTATAAAAATAATCCTTTAAGGTAAACGCATTTTTAAAATGGGGAATCAAAAGCGCGAGTCACGGTCTATCAGTGATTGACTGCATATTTTCCTAATGACTTGAGACATAGTTGAGGGAGTATAATATGGTACTCATTCGACGCAGAATTTTGTGTACTTTAATTTATATAAGAGTAAAAATTTCCTAAAAATGCATTGTTTAGAATTTATAAGTGAAAAACTGAGAAATGTCAGCAAATGTCCAGGTTTTTGGGACACCCCGTATAGAGGACAAGCAGAAAATTTGTGCAAACTTTAAAAAACTCTTTTTACACGTAAATGAAAAGATTAACTATTTCTGGCTTGCCGAGAACTAATTCGCCTTCGAACCTTATGTTGGCTGGCCTAGAAGAAAACTTTTATTAATCAAGAATATTAGTAGTCTCAACATTTAATCAATATGTATATCTGCACCTTACCTGAGTTTTACCCATTTCGATAAAGCTTTACGACTATGTAATAAAGTCCAGAATGCTGTCTAGTTAATTTTCTTGACGTCATGTTTCCAGATAATGACAGGCAATAACATTTCCTAACAAAATAAAAAAAAAAAATCCTATACACGGTGTCAATTTGAAAACTTTCAATGCGAATATCTCTGAAAGTAAAAAAGTTAGAAAAACGTTATTTGGTACAAATTTTAAACAGGTAGAAAGAACTAGAACTATCCTATTTTTTTATTATAATGACCACTTGGACCCCACCCATCCCAACCCCAATATTTTAAATGGCATTACCCCCTTTTGTGATCTAAAATTAAATATTTTTTGAAAAAATTCTTGTGCAGGTGAATACTATACTCAAAAATATTTCATTTTAGGCATCACAAAAGGGGTGGTGCCATTCAAAATTTTGAGGTTGGGGTGCATGGGGCCCAAAGAGTCACTCACCCCATAACCAAAATATAGTGGTTCTAGTTCCCCCTAGCTGTATAACATTTGTACCAAATTACGTTTTTCTAACTTTTTTACTCTCAGAGATATTCGCATTGAAATTTTTCAAATTGACACCCTATAATATGTCGCACCCTGTAGGCATATATTATAACAGTGTGTGGCTTATATAAGATATTTTTATTTTTCATTATTTTTAGTTTTACTCCATTATATTTTTAGAGAATGTGATCTCGAGGAAGTTTTAGTTTACCAAACAACTCATATGGTGCCAAATTATAGCGCTTCGCCCGGATTCCAAGGTATCCTGAAGTGCATTCCGAACGTTTCCAAGCACTATGGCCTGAAACCACCGTATAAGCAAAACAAGTTAACCAAAAAAGTAGCCAGCACTTAACAATTTTGTCTTGATTAATTTGTTTTTGAGAAGGTCAAGGTAGGACGGCGTATGCATTTTGTGATGAATTACTTAAGTTATTTTATGTCCTACTTTATCTTAGGCACTTTTTTATTGAAATAGAACCCTTTTTTGATTAATATTATTTATGAATGTCTAAATTTTGTTATATTTTGAATGTGTTTAGAGCAGAGTCTTGAACGAATTTTCTTGAAAATTGTGAAGATGAAAATTTATACATAAATATTTCAAGTTCATCGAAGTTAAAAATTTTATGAGCCTTAACTGTCTCATCACAAATTCAAATTTTTACCAACCATAAGTTAAAGCCTTCTCTACAGAAAGGTAATAGCAACTTTTTATTAAGTTTGCATTGCATCAAACCACTTTTTTTGAGGAATTGAATTATTTTCAAACGATCTCGAGCTAGAGAGTAAGTTAGCCATTAAGCAAATTTTCAATATTACCAAATTAGTAGTTACCCACAGAATGAACAAAGTTGAATTAATTTGCTCAATTTGTTTTGCTAAACACATCTAGCCTAGCTCTTAAGTTTTTTTGCACATGGAAGTCACAATTATTTATTTACTCATCAGGTTCAAGTTTTTGCAGCCAAGAATCGCTTTTTTGATAAATGAATATTCCTATTTTTGTATAACAATCGTAAAGCAATTATTTCAAGAGTTTTTCAACTGCCAAAATCCCATACAATTTTGAAATATGATTGCATTGCAACTAAATCCAGTTTTCAAATAAGGTTTCACGTTTTATTGTAGTCAATCGTAGATTAGATACAATGCAGGATTTTCACTCAGTTAGTCAAATACTAGTAGACTTCTGCATTCGGTCTTGAAATAATTTCACAAAAGATTTAGTACAATTTACACAATGCATTGTGATATGTAAATAAGGCGCCTATAGGATTTGCTATTTTATATAATGTACTTCAGTGGTACACTTTTTTGCTGCGAATTTTTACACAATGCGATTATTGGAATTGCTCTCTATGTTAATGAGGTTATACACAATTATTGTCAATAAAATGTTATGATCTTAAGTCTTTTTACACTTGTGATGTAGGTAATAAAATATTTAGATTTTTGTACTTATTATTGTTATTACTTTTTTTATTTGTTGATTTTGTGACACTATTGTAATTCACTAATAGAATGGGGTAAGATTATTGGGATTCTTGTAGCAATATGTAGCGGATGATCAAAATGAAGCACTAAGTTAAAATGGTGTCTCACATTCTGCAATTTTTAATATGTATAGCCTAATACGCAGCACTTACTGAGTGACTTGATTTGTGCCGTGCCTACATATGTACAGGGTGGCCCAAATTCGAACCTTATCATTGGGATCTTGGAAACCGTAAGAGATACGGGGTCGGTTAAAGTATGGCAAAGTTGCGCAATTTTATGACCAATAGAATGCCGTTTTGAAATTAGAAAAATTCCGAACACTTCTGGAGATATTCGGAAAAAACCAAAATTTTGTAAAATCGTTCTTGGGCTGAAGACGAAACGTCGGTTTTTTCCGAATATCTCCGGAAGTATTCGGAATCTTTCTTATTTCAAAACGGTATTCTATTGGTCATAAAATTGCGCGACTTTGGACGTATATAAGGGGGGGTTTTGGGGATTCATACCCCCCCCCCCATTGAACTGAATAATAATTTTTTTTTAGAAAAATAAACGTTTTTGGGCGTGGAACCCGATATCCTCCGTCGGCTATGCCAGGTACATCGTCTGGTCTAAAATTAAAACCCTTTCCAGCATAGACCACGAGCCGCCACTGCTCTAAAATTCCCCCCATGAAAAAGCTATAGCTACATCGTTGTTTGCCATAATATAACCGACCCTGTATCTCTTACGGCTTCCGAGATCCCAATGATGATTCTCGAATTTGGGCCACCCTGTACATAGCAAGCACACACATGTATGGAAACAATCAACTTGCTGCCTTTGAGTTGGGATAGTTTTCCGACACATGATAGGAAGCGCAAGCTTTTCGTGCCGGATAAGCTTCGACAAGCGAGCAATTGAAACTCTGATTCATTTTAGGAATATCTGTTTCATTCTCCTTGATGAAACTGGAGTAGCGACAGATTCATATTGTCTCTTGATAAGCCTATCCTTCAGGTGTAAATGTGGTAATTTTTTTTCCAAAATTTGAGATATTGGACTTCCAGTATAATCGAAAGTATCTACCTCAATCTGAAAAATACATTAAAACCTTGGTTTTCCGAAATAATGTGGGGAGAGCACCCCCTTTGGAGAAATCGATCAACGCAGTTCGTAGGGGACCCCCATATAACAGACGGCTGTATTTTGCTGCCCAAAGTGCCTTTTTTTTCTGGATATCTTCAAAGATGGTTCTGATAAGCCATGATTCTCTGGGACTGTCTTCTCTATTTGGAGCAATAAAACCACTCGAAACCATATTTTTGCTGGGCAGGGTAGTGTATGTGAGTTATGATAGAAATAACAACCTTATCCTAAGGCGCCATCTTACTTAGCTCTCTTTTGATCAAGCGCTATTTTGTTTCATAATCTTTTATTTGTTACCTATTATAAATCACTTTTTTAATTTTTGTTTTTTGTTGTATTTGTTAACAGCTTTAGTAAAGATTTTTTGTGTGTGAATATTGTTTTTTATTTTCCTTCCGATAATGGGCTCTTTCACTAAAATTTAAATACGTAATTTAAGTATAAAATCTCAAAGGAGGGACTATTTTAGGCATATATACCAAAAAAAAATGTTCTACAAGGTTCAATAAGTTTTTCATAGGCAATCAAAAGTGCCTAAATTCAAACTATTTTAAAACGCGCCGATTTGCCGACGTCACATAAATATTCTTCATTTCGCTTATGTCGTTGCAAGGAGGAAGGGCTCGGCTGTGTTTGCGCTCTGTAAAGATACGTTAAGGTTCGAATGCGCTGTTGTCGGTTGTGACTAAATGTAGTGCACCGTAAAATAAATAAATAAAACTAAACAAAAAATTGCATTAAATTGTATTTAAGCATAATTTAAAAAAAAAAATGTTATAAAATCTTGAATCTATAACTAATTAATTTAACTACTTTTCATGAGATTTTGCCAACATTTCAGAATTAAATCTATTACAAATTTTCAATGTTGACAATTAGTGGCAACAGGGTCAAATTGCGAGCTGCGACGTCATAGAAATAAATTCTGGGTTTTTATTTGGAGGTATTTCTTTGTTTTCTGTTTTCTCAAGAAGGACTTTGAATTTTTCAAAAGTAAAAATACAGAAAATTCTGTTTTTAGTTGCTTTATCCAAATATGCCAATTTCAAAAATTAGTGAAAGAGCCCATTATATTTTCCGTTTAGTAAATCTTGTTTTTTAGAAACTATTTATTTCATTAAAAAGTAAGAAGTTACAACAAAAAATACTAGACTCTAATTGCTGCGGCAAAAGCCCGAAAACAAAAGAATCTTGATTCTAATAGGCTCCTTGCATCAAATTTTTTTATTGCTGATTTCGATAGTCCATGAAAAATAAGTCAACAAGTGTTTTTTCTTTTACCTACGAGCGTGCGGTAAAGTGCACTTTACCCCACTTATTTGCAAATGGAAAGTAGCACTTTACCGCACACTATGCGGTAAACTTACTTTACCGCATAGTGTGCGGTAAAGTTAACTTTACAGCATAGTATGCGGTAAGGTGGACTACGAAGTGTGCGGTAAAGTGCACTTTACCGCATAGTGTGCGGTAAAGTAGAATTTGATATTTATAATCAAAAATCCTTTCTTTTTCAGAAGATTTTTCAAAGGATTTTTGATAATTCCTAAATCTAATCTAATTTCATCAATTAATCTGATTCATTAATTAATTTTATCAATGCCTTTTTTTGGAGATGTAGATGCTCATAAGCCAGTCCTTAATTTATTTGCTTTTCTGATCGCTGATTAGTGATTGAAGAGCCTTATGCTCGACTTTTTTTAGTCTTACAGTTGTGGTATTCTCTGGAAGTTCAGGAATGTTGATAATGGGTAGTCCGAGTTCTAGGTTGGAGTTCTCATGCGGGTCTTCCAAAAATGTTCGAATGTTAATAATTGTCATTGAACATTTTCCTTTGGAAATTACGATTGGACTGGAAATTATTTCCATGTATTTCTTCTAGTCACATTGCAGCATTGCTGTCACAGGTCGTTTTGGAATAACCAATACTTGATTATTGTGTGTTTCTTCAATTGTTGATTCTTCGTATTGAATTTTCGTGAATGGGAATTGTTGTTCACTAGATACAATATCGTGAACACAGGGCTCATCTTGTTTCAATAGTTCCATTTTGCACAAATAAATGTCTTCAATATTTGGACATTTTTATAGAGCACGTGTCTGTGGAGGGTAACAGGTAAGGATACTTTACTAATTGTTTAATTTTGGATGGATATAGGAAATAGTTTATACAATATAAAAGGTTTAGGATTAATTATTGGTGTAAATATAGTAAATATAATTAGTTCCTTTTGAATTATTACATGAGGGAGAGTTGACAAAGAAAGATTTTAAGATTTCAGGACTCTACAATTCAATATTATTTGCTCTAAGAAAGTCCAAAATTAGTTTGTTTGTTCTTACCTTAGGATTGAATATCATGAGTCAATTGAAATTGGGGTTTGGACCCCATTTTATGTCACGCCTCTTCTACGAAATCAATACGTAGTCCTTTCTCTAGTCACTAGGTGGCGCACAACTTTAAAGCAGCAAGACAAAAGTTGTACTATCATCACTCACCCTAATGTAGCCATGGTACCCGTAATTCGATACGTCATTGTCATTCTTTTTCTTTGTGCTAACGTGGCGTATCATAAATTTATTTACCTACGAGCGTGCGGTAAAGTGCACTTTACCGCACGTATTTGCAAATGGAAAGTATCACTTTACCACACACTATGCGGTAAAGTGCACTTTACCGCATAGTGTGCGGTAAAGTTAACTTTACAGCATAGTATGCGGTAAAGTGGACTACAAAGTGTGCGGTAAAGTAAAATTTGATATTTTTAATCAGAAATCCTCTCTTTTTCAGAAAATGGATTTTTGATCATTTCTACATCTAATCTAATTTCATTAATTAATCTTAACGGCTTGACCGAACTCCGCTTCGCGTCGTTCGGTCAACTGCCGCTGCGTGCGGTAAAGTATCACTTTCCGCATTTGTTAGGTAAATAACTATTATTTTTAACCATATATGTAATGTTGACATTACAGTCTTTTTAAAAATTTGGAAATGTCACTTTACTGTCTTTTCATTTCCCTGCTCCACTTCCCGTCCCCATTTCCCGTCCTCGTTTCATTATATTTATGTGGCAGGTATTGTCAATTTTTTTTCAAAATTGATGACAATGACATAAAATTCAAGCAAATAGCATGAAGCTACGTTCACATTCAATTTCATTTCTAATTTAAATTAGCAAAAATTATGGTTAAAAATAAAATAGTATACTATGCTCGACAGGAAATTTAATTACTGTCTCGAGATATAGTTTATCTCGACGCTACGCGTCTTGATAAACTATAAAATCTCTCGACAGTAATAGCTAATTTCCCGTCTCGGATTGTAATATACTATTTCTCAACAAAATTGTTATTAATCCTTATTATTCGGTTGCTAAATGACGGGAAAACGTTCCAGAAGTGTTTCCTCTTCTTCTTCTTCTACCGAGGGCGAATTTCTGAGGCGGAAAATTAAAAAACACCGACGCAAGTATAATGACCGGAAGTACCGCGGCCGTTTGCGACGATCTAGATCTAGATCCAACTCAATGGCTAGCAGGAGGAGGCATAGATACTCTTCATCATCAGCATCATCCCAGTTAGGGACGAGTTCCCCAATGAATTTGGGATCCCGAAGTCCCCTTGTGGTGGATACACAATTTGTTGATTGTGAGAGCATTTAGAGGTTATCTATTTGCTCAGGGGCCAACCAAGGTCATTGGTTGTATCATGTTTTGTCTTGGTTACAGATAAATATGTCGTTTGTTTTCCAAGAATGCCGTCGGATTGTGTGTAAGTAACTACATCTGTTTGATTTTAGGTTTATCCACTTCTAATGCACCAGAGGTCGTGGATCCTCTTCAAACAGACCTCGATCAGAGGGTTTTAAGTGCTATGGGTGCAAACCGCAAAAAGCAAACGTTAGTGGGAGAACCACTACATGATATTCTAGCCAATCATTGTGGTTTATTGTTGAAAACGGGATTGTCTGAGGATCAGTTGAACGAGACGTTGGCAAAATATCCAACACCAGAGAATTGCCCTTTTGTTGTTCCTGTCAAATTGAATGCTAAAATCAGAGCTGCTCTTAATGAAGCTGGTCGTAAAAGAGATGAGAGATTAATTGCTCGTCAAAAAGAGGTTGGTATCGCCTTGACAGCAGAAGCAAGGGCCCAGTCAATTCTATTGAATCGTCCAGATAAAGACGAAGAGACATTGAGTTTAATTGAACATTTGGGAGATACAACATCTCTACTGTGTAAAATACACAACACTGATTCTGAGTATGGAAAATTTTCTCTGAATTCCAATAATCTTAAGCCTGAACTTTAAGAGGCATTGGCTGAAGCTCCTTTGGACACTTACCTGTTCGAAGAAGATTTAGGTGAGCGAATCAAAACGGCCAAATCTATTAGCAAGTCAGTTGCTGATCTTAGGGCTGACTCTTCCAAACCGAAGTATGCACCACAGACCCTCAAGGCCCAAAACCCAAACTCCTTGGGCCCACTTCGACAAAAGAAATACAAACCTCAACGCCGAAGTGGGCAAAACAGGTACTATCAGGAATCTCGATTCCCAAAGGAAGAAGAGAGGGGGGAAAGAGAGAGGGGCAGGAAGTTCCCTCCGAGGAAGTTCAACAAGTAGTAAGTCAGTTTGGAGGAAGATTATCTGCATTTAAATCATTTTGGTTAAGATACCTGTGATCCTTTGCTTCTTTCTTGGTTGGAGGGCTATATTATCCCTTTTTCTAGGCCAGTGTTATAAGGTTAGGTGGGGTAAGTGCACCCCCATTTTCGATAAATTGAAGTTTTTGGGTATTTCTAAAATTAATTAAAATTGAGATCAAAATCCCACTATGATTTTATAACTAACTGATACCTTTGCAAATATATCAGAGTTTTTGGGAAGCCAAATATTTCAATTTAGTTGAAAAATTTGAGTTTTTTTAAAACAATGTTGGGGTATGCTCTTACCCCATTGAATTGGGGTAAGTGCATACTTTGGTGGAATAATGACATGCATTTTTATTATAGGATCTTGTGGGTAAGTGCGTTTTATTTAATTTTTTGCCAAAATTTTCATATAGGTGAGGTTTGATTTGGATAATTTTTGAGGGAGTTACAAACTTTTTTGGTTAAGATGTCGGGAAACTAAAAAATCAAAAGATGTTAAATTTTAACCCAGAAATTTTTATTTGGCATTTAACAACTCAAAACTTGAACAAATCAAGACAAATAATCTTCCTTGTACCTAATCTGAACTAACATAAAAAAATAATAACTTCTAACGAAAAATAGTACTTATATTAAACCGATTAATTTTTGGAACGCAGTTACTTACGACAAATTTTTAATTCCACTGAATTTTATCGGAAAAATAAATCTTCCACGTCGATCAGTTGTGGGTTGAGGCAAAATTTTAATTATGTTCTCCTCTGCGATTGTGTCGATATCTTCTCCCTGAGGCCATATAAATGCTCCCTTATATGACCTGACAAATTTTATAGTCCATTCTTCCGCAGCTTTTTCAAAAATTTGTCCAATATAATGTCTCATTGTCTTTTTTGTACAGTATTGCACTAGCACCCATTTTCCTATTGCCAAGAAACAGTCTTGATCCTCGTCAGAAGCATCAGAAAATGCTTCCGGATCCATATCGTCCTCGGAATCAATATAATCTACGGATGCGTCATCAGATTCGCTTGTTTCAGGTGACTTCTCGGGTTTCTTTTTAGATGACTTCTTTGTCAGCTCTTTCATTTTTGCCTTAGCCTGTTTGGAGGTGATAATTTCTGAACCGGGGGCGATACGCTTACGTTTAGTGATCGGTTCTTTTTTGGATTGTTTGATAGTTTCCAACAAAAGCTGCTCAAATGAAACATTTGGTGGTTGATAAACTTCGCCGTTTGAAGGACGAATTGGCTCTGCAGAAGTACTCGCTACAGATTCAATATTTTCTATTTGATGAGGTGTTTCTTGAGTTGTTTCTTGTTGCGTTTCTTGAGGTATTTCCTGCTGCGTTTCTTGAGGTGTTTCTTCCTGCGCTCCTTGAGGTGCTTCCTCCTGCGTCTTTTTCCAACGTTTAAGGCTTTCGGGATCAAACAAGTTTTCAGGTATCACGTTCGGATTGTACGGAAAAATACCTGCCTTTTTAAAACCATTTGAGATTGTTTCCGTAGAGAGCTCTAGCCATGAGCTTTGGACCATGGCGGAAAATGTAGCCTTTGGTACCTTAACACCTATATTGTGTCTCTGCCATGTAACTAATTTTGCGTCCCATTTATCTTTTAAAGGTTTGAACACTGATAGATCTAGCGGTTGTAATAAATGGGAAGTATGGGGAGGCAATTTCAGGATTGTAATATTTTCTTGAATAGCAAGTTCGATTACTTTCTCTGTCACATGTGTACTGTGACCATCGTATATCAGTAGCTGAGGTCTTTCTGCGCCCATTGTTGGAATAAGTGTTTTTGCTAAATAATTGCAAAAAACGTCAGCTTCCATCCATCCGTTTTTGGTAGCGCCATGAGCGGTACCGGGAAAAATTTCATTTTCGGGAATCCAAGAGTTCCAAAGATTTTTTGCTTTAAATAATATCAATGGTGGTGCTTTTTTTCCGGCAGCATTTACAGCTGCCAATATGGTTGTATTCTCTCTTCCAGGACTGCTCACAGTTCTTGAAGCAGTCTTTCCAATTCCACCCACCACTTTAGTTTTGCTGGGATCAAGACATAAACTCGACTCGTCCAGATTCCAGATTTTATTTGGCTGATTCATTACATCGAGATCTTGAAGCGTTCGTTTGAGCAAGTTGAAGTAGGGATATATAATAAAAGGATCCGTCATATTTTTCCGTGCATATTCAATACTCTGAGGTTTTTTTATCGATAGTAAATTCCGCTTTTTAAAGTTAATAAACCAATCTTCTCCAGGCTTGTTGAATTTAAATGGTGTTTTCAGATTATTCAATTCAACATATTGTTTTACAATATCAAGCAACTCCAACCGGCTCAAGCCAAATCCCCACGTCTCCATTTTTTTCAAACAATTCGCCAATTTTCGTTCATGTTCTTCTGGAAGTGCAGGCGGTCGACCAAATGTTGAGCTTTTCGTTCCACGTCTTCCTTTCAGGTGATCTCGAATTGTTGATAATGGAATTCTGTATAAAGCTGCAGCTCGTTTTGGACTTATTGAACCATTACGAATTTCTTCCACGGCACGTCTCAAGGCTTCTTGGGTGTACGATTGTCCTCGCTGTGTAGTTCTAACGTAAACTCGTGGCATTTTGTGAAAAGTCTACAAAAGAAAATTAAAAAAAATTATAGGGTAAGAGCACACCCCATGTGCACTTCCCCCTCACGAAAAATGCGCACTTTCCCCAATATCAAATTTTGCTGGGGCAAGTGCACACCTACGCGAATTTCAGTTCTTAGCTTGAACTCTAGAAAACCAACTTGCACCCACTGAACTACACCAAAAGCGAACACTATTACATATGAACACTTTTACACTTACCCAAAGACAACATAGAAACCACTTATAAAAACTAAATAATCCAATTTACACAAGAATTTCAAAATGCACGTTGGAGTTCAAACAGGTTTTGCCGAAGTGACGCGCGCTGTTGCCGCTTTTTGTCGATTCCTAACGCTGACGTATGAACGTTTCAATTGAAATTCATAGATGGCGCACCATAAACATTAGAAATTAATTTTTCAGGGTCGTGGGATGCACTTTCCCCAAAATTGCACTTACCCCACCTAACCTTAACATTTGGTTCCCAGGGAACCAATTTATGCACAAAAAGGAAAACTGAATATGACACAGGCAGTTAAACACTTGTGTGATATTCGCGCTGTATCCAGTGCCAGCCCAGTAATGGACAGTTTATTTCGAAAATTTTTCTAGTTCCGAAGTCAGATGGCAGTTTTATGTTGGTTCTCAATTTGAAAAAATTGAATATTTTCATTGACCCCTGCCATTTTAAACTTGAAGATCGGAAAGTTGCTGAAACCATTCTTTCATAAGATTGCTACCTATATGGCAACAATAGATTTGAAAGAAGCTTACTTTCTTATTCCTATTGCAAAGATGCATCGAAAATACTTACGTTTCGTTTTTGATTCTAAATTGTATCAATTTAATGTACTTCCCTTTGGGCTCTGTACAGCAACTTGGGTGTTTACTTAACTTTTAAAACCTATCGTTTCATTTCTTCGAGCCGAAGGTTACTTATCAGTTGTGTATTTAGATGATTTTTGGCTTGTTGGCAGTACCTACACTAGCTATTTAAATAATGTTCAGAAAATTTGTAATATTTTACAAGAATTGGGGTTTGTCATAAACATTAAGAAGAGTGTTTTAGTTCCGGATAAGTCTTGCAAGTTTTTAGGTTTTAGTTTTAACTCGGAGCTTATGACCTTGAGCCGTCCAGATGACAAAGTGTAGGCATGTCTTAAAATTACCTACTGAATAGTTTTTATAAACTAAGGTCTTGTAAGATTGGAGATTTTGCCCAATTATGTGGAGTCCTGGTTTCAATATGTCCAGCAGTGGCATATAGCTGGGTGCATACTAAGTTATTTGAGAGGGCAAAGTTTCTTGCTTTGCAAAACTCCTATAATAATAATTATGATAGTTCAATGACTCTTTTTAAAGATCTTATTGTTGACTTCAGATGGTGGTTCAAAAAATTGGAAACACTCTTCTCCAATAAGGCAACATTGTTTTTCGTTAGAGATTTTTTCAGATAGTACTCCAGTGGTCTGGGGCTTAGCTTGTCAAGGAAAGACTTCAAGGGGTTTTTGGAATCCTGATAAAGCTAAATTACATATAAATGCACTTGAATTGAAAGCTGCTTTCTTTGGAGTCAAATGCTTTGCTTCAGATTTAAGTGACTGTGAAATTTTGCTTCGTATTGACAATACCACAGCTATTTCCTATGTTAATAGAATGGGGGGAGTGCAGTATCCCATATTGAATAATATTGCGAGGGAGCTTTGGGCATGGTGTGAAGAGAGAAGGATTTGGGTTTTCGCTTCATACATAAGTTCTTCAGATAATTTTGAGGCTGACCAAGAATCCAGGACTAGCAACTTTGAGAATGAGTGGGAGCTTTCCAATCTATGTTTTTCTAAAATTGTTCAGAAGTTTGGTATTCCAGAAGTTGACTTATTTGCTACTCGGCTCAATAATAAATGCTCAAGATTCATTTCCTGGCTGCCTATCCCAGAGGCTGCAAATGTAGATGCCTTCACTATTTATTGGTCAGATTCTGTCTTTTATGTTTCTCCCCCGTTTTGTTTGCTCCCTAGAGTATTGAGGAAAATCAATAATGATTCCGCTACAGGGATTGTGGTATGTAATTCCATTCTGGCAAGGCAAATCTTGGTTTCCGATGTTTGACAATATGTTATCTGAATTGATAATTTTTGAACCTAATAAAAAAATTACTTATATCTGTTGACAGGCAACCCCATCCATTATGGCAGAAGCTTACCCTGGCAGCAGGGGTTTTGTCAGGAAAGCATTTCAGCTGAGGAATATTCCCAAGGACTCCATGGATATCTTTTATTCATCTGTCCGTAGTTCAACAATGAAACAATATAAGACTGCATATAGATGTTGGTGGAAATTTTGTCAACT